GGGGTCTGAGTTCAAACTTATTTTTTAACGTATTTGCTCTATTAGAAAAGCATCTCCAATAGATGTGCATATAAACCAATAAGCAGCCTCTCGGCTAAGATAGCTACGATGCTAGCAATGCACATTTCAATTAAAGAATTGAAGATATCATCATGAAATGAACAAATCTACGAGAGGTCTGCCTGAGGTACAAATACACCAAGTATCAAAGCAATAAGAACTGTTACAGTAGTTTTTTGAAAAAAATAAAAAGTTGACACGGACGACGGTCAATTATATGATAAGCTTGACAGCGAAGCTAAAAATTGCAAAAATGCTAAATGATTAAAATATTACTCTGATCATAAAAAAATCACTGTGATATAATATGGAAAATAGGATAGCTGTGAAACATAAAGGGTAATCAAACCTAAAACATGTTTTATGCACTAACACTAAAACATTTTATTATCATGATGCTTTGCTAAGGTAGTTGTTCATACACCACACTGTGCCAAATAAACCTATGACACATCAGATTCTGTCTGGTATATATGTTTTGACTCAACTGTAAAACTGTGGCATCAGGGGGCATGGCCATTTCATGAATATATATGATTTAGTTGAATAGGTTAGCTAGGAATTGGGTTATACTTGTATTATATTCAGTGAAATTTCAAACTGCAAAAAGTTTTTTTATATTTGTCAACACATACTAGGTATACATTTTACACACTTGACACAACCAACATTCTCAAGGAAGGATCACATGTACCACGTTTGCCAATCCCTAGATCTACCGTACATACTTACTCCTTGCGTTGCTAAAATAAATAAAGCCCATGGGGAGAGTACAACTGCTGATATCGATGTTGATAAAGCATTTAATCTTTTGGCACCACCAATATCCACAGATAACTTTCTTGCTGCACTTTTATAAGCAACATTCACTAGTAGTGTTAAAAGAAGTAATAAAACTCCACCCTGAAAACAAGTGTATACAGTAATCAATAAACTCTGCTTGTAAGAGGTGCTATTCTCAGCAAAACATCTCTATATGAAAAACATGTGTATATGAACACTATGATTGTATAGATATTTAGGTAAAAAGTAACTTTAAATAAACCATTTTCAAAAAGTTGTATTTCTTGTATGCAATAAAAAACAAATCTTAAAGTTACGGAGCCTGATAGTTATCGTGGTAAAAATATCACTTATTTCCTTATTTATCTACTATTTCATTGTTGACATCACTATAATAAATCCCATCATGCATTGTTGATTCAGACACAGGAGCACCATGGGTAAAATAGACTGTCATTTTTTTACAAGTCTCCAATGTGTATGATATTTATCTAGGAAACCAAATTTACATGCACAAATATATACTTTTATGCAGTTTAAATCAGTTTGAATACCTTATGGTCAGAGACTCCAAACCATGTAAACGATGAGTAAAATAAGTGTTCCATAGGACTCCTATGGTGGCCTTCAGCTAAGTAGGATAATGTTAAGAAAGACAAATTGTACACCCTCAATACATTCTACAATTATGTCATTCAGAAGTACAATGTAAGTTAATGAATTCACTGATTATGTGCATGAATCATAAAGAAACTTACTGAGCTTCTGCACATTATAATAAACAATTTGTCGACGAAATGTTGTTCAACGGACAGACGGAAGCAAATCCATTAGCTCTCATCTCTGACTTTGTCCTTTGACGGGGAGTAAAAAACAAATTATGTTTCATACATGAAAGGATACGATGATCTACTTTTTTCAGGTGGGTATCAACATCAAATAACAGCAAACAAATAATAGCAAATATAAAAAGTGTGGCACCACGCATCTGAAATAGAAAAAGAGAAATGTTGTTCTACATTGGACACTGCATCTTTTAAAGAAACATCAAATATTCACTTTCTTTCTAATTGATGACATCATGATCTTTTTAACCTTTTCACCATGAGACTTTCTCATCCAAATTGTTTTGCACTTTTTTTTGTATTCTTCATAATAAGTTTTTACTCAAAAAATGTTGTCCCAATCTATAAATGGGACAATATTGTTAATTTGTGATGAAAAGAGGGTGAACCTCTTACTACCATGGTAATGTTTTACTATTGACCATCAATGCAAAATTTATTGAACAAAAATATTCAAAACACATTCAGCCTTTTCCTGTCATTGGATTTAATAAGATTCCTGATACATCTAAACCAAACATGCTAGTCACGTGTAATTCAAAGGGGTGATATGGTAAATCTAATCAATCTACATTCATTTTGGCAAATAGAAACCACAAAAAGTTACACATCCTAACACTTTATTTACAATTATATACACAGATTTTTTTATGTTATCTGTTTTATACTTAAAAGTAGATCAAATATTTGAAAAAGTTTCATTATGCCTCAAGAAATGGATGTGTGACCTGTTTGAGGTAATGCATAAGATCTATTCACCAGATTGTTGAATCTGGTGCTATCGGCTTCTACTGTACCTTTGCTTTGCCGGAACCACCAGTAAACAGTGCTCCTAATGCAGCTATGATTACAATATCACTGTGTTCAAATATTAAGATAGTTCTATACAAAAAACAAAGAGAATTTATTGGTTTAGTAAATTACATTGTATTTCAAAAGTTGAGCTTGAACACATACATGTACAATAAAATAAAAATAGGATACATTTTTCAACCATAAACACAAGCAATTAACAATAAAAGTTTTCTCATTGCTTTCATACTAGTACTTTCACATTCATTTGAGGCTTGTTAAAAATGAACATGATGGTTGCTAGGAGACAAAAAAATTCCTTTATGTTAATCTTCAATACACTATGACTGGAAGTGCGTAGACTGACTGATCCGCTTGTCCAAGAAAGGGTTATAAACACTTATACAGAAAGTGATTTTGAGAGACAAATTTGATTAAATCCTTAAATAACACAAAGTTTGCCATTTTTGTTTGAATGTCAAAAACAATATGACATGCACCTGTAACCCAATAACCATGATCCTGATACAAAGTTTGAATGAAATTGTTTATTGTACAAGTGATTTATGAGACACTCACCTAGCGGGACCACACAATGTAAGGCCAAACAACCATAGCAAGTTAATTGCACTACCAACGATGCCGTGGCGAATAACTCGCATCCACTGAAAATAAACATATTAGTATTAGATGAGTAAGAGGTCTACAATAAATTTTTTGCATACCTTTCAAATTCTGGAAGATACACAAGATAATTGTAAAATTAAAAACAGGTAGGTAGGAAGAATAGTGTAATGAATTCTCCATCTGACATCTTTTTCAAAACCTTCAATCAGCATAAACACAAACAAATTCCTATATTTTAGGTTTACAGTTGTTTACATAAGTGCATAAGTTTATCTTGTCTAAACTTATAGAATTATAAAATACACTGAATACTGAGAAGCAAGGAAATTTGTTAAAGCAGCTGCTCCTTAAAAGCTTTTATCCTAATACTTTTGATGGGACATTATTCTGTGACAATTTAAGCTATATTTAATTTTAACAGGGGATCTAATGAGATATGCTATCACAGTACAGTATAATGATAAATTGCAGTTCTATCAGTTTCTGAGTTTTGTGTATGGGCATGTCATGGTTACGAGGGACACTCTCACAAGAAAATCTTGAAAATCGATGTACATGTGAATATGAGTTCCATTAATTGGTCAAGGATATATTAGGATTTTTTGACGTAGTACTAGGCCCAGCAAGATAATTATATCTTCAAGCGATAATCGAGTTCTCCCAGGATACAAACAGTGAGGCACTACTGCCACACTGATTTGTTTTACTGCCACACTGACTGACTCTGCCACAGACATTATCCTGACCATCACATGTAGTGCCATTTCAACTGTGCCATTGCTGATTTTCAAAATAAGTTAAGATAAGTTGCTGAAAACAGTTTTGTAAATTAATAATTTTGTGCATTTCGTAATTCAGCAGGTCAATCATCACAATTTCTGTTTGGAATAATTATGCAAATAAATTCTTACCAACACAGTGGTTTAAATTTCTGGGGAGAACACAAAGACATGTGGATGTTCTGTGGAAGTGATTGCGAGGACACACCCATACTCAAGTATTTGAGAATAGAATTGTAAGTACGAGACATACAAGTCAATAGGGACTACATGTGGGAGTATAGTCAAGGTTTCTTGTAACAAGCCCTCATTTCCTGATTAGCCTATTACAGAAAGTCTCAGAAGGATTGGGGCAGCCAATTTGCAAACTCGCTAGAGAATCGGCTAACTGCTTTGGTTTTGACTAAACAGTTGGCCTTTGAGTCTCGCTGGCACCGACTTGTCAAGTTGTGGTCGCGTCCACTCTGGGCGAGTCTATATCGCATTGGGGGACATAGAATGCTTTTACGTAGCTTGGTACGTGCCTGGATTCCCCTGAATGATTTTCTTTGTTACGCGAGGCATTATAATGTAAAAAGTAGTTTCCCTGGTCAGCCTGAGAATGGCCACAGTCAACTAGCGTACAAGTAATAATATGATGAATGTGTTTAATCTACCGATATTTACTATATGAGGTAGCCATGGTGAACACTGATTGCAACTAAATAAAGAGACAAGTTGAAAAACAGTTTCCTACAAATCAGGGAGAAAATCAGGGTAACATTAAGCCAACGGCTAAAAAAATCGACCTCATTCGTTGTTTTTGTCCCTAGTATACAAACACCTCATTACACAAAACATAGAACACTTTCCCTGGTATATTTGAATGCGAAATTGACATCCAACTGTAAGACCATCGCTGATTAGTTGAAGTATCGCTATCACTAAAGTATGATGACTGTCCCCTACTGTTATATGGATTCTCCCAGAGAGGGCGTGACCAACAGACAGCACCAGCGATATTCGAAAGCCAACAGTTTAGTCAAAACCAAATCAGTTAGCCAATTCGCTAGCAGTTTGTAAATTGACTGAGCAACAGCCTGAGATGTCAGGGTTCTCCACGGTTTGAAAATTAAACAGGGCGCGCCAATGTGAAGTGGGCGTGGCACATTTGTAACGTGCATCATTGGCAAGGATGTTGAAAAATAGAAACCAAAAAATCTATTAATCTACATATTATTACATATGCATAATATATATTTATTATTACAAAATGAATAGGAATTTTGAAGAGCTATTATTAAGTAAACGTCAGCTCGTACAATCAGCTGATTTTAGCTGCACGATTCCTCAAGCGACAACATCAGTTGTTTACAAGTAATGATCGCGTCCAGAAAAAGACGTAACAAGTTTGTTAATTTATTTTCCCAAATAGA